TTAGTTGTTTAGTGCTAGAGGTATTCTATAACGAGACACAAGAGGCTTAATTGACACCTTTCTGTTAAAAATCTTTACAACGTGAGCTAATTTCAAACTTGCAGGAATCTTAAAATAGTATTGACAGTAGTTATTAACTTATTTGTTGAACTTGTGACATTTTTTATCCTCGTGTTACTAATATGGTCGTGTCTGATATTTTTATTAGTGTAAATTATCAAAACGATGTAAATGATACCCGTTAGTTGGATAGTAAAATCATTACATGTATTTTGTCTTCTGTCATGAAAGTTGATTAAGCGGATTTGATCATCGTTAAGTAGTTATCAAAGGTACCAGGCTTATAATTTGATACGCCGGACGCGCGTTCCGTCTAAATAAGACTCATCAGTGACGCTCAGATCAAACTAGTTAGGAAGCCAAACAAGTACAAAGTTGAAGAGCATTAAGGACCCAAAATTCCAAAAAGTTGTGCCAAATAAGATTATATACTGAACAAAACAGATTCGTTTTGCATATTTATGTGTCAACATTATCAACAGCTGGACCGGTTGTTCATCTCTTGGTTAATTATAACCCTTGGTTAGATATAACCCATGGTTAAATCTTTAAACTAAGGGTCAAGTAACCAAGGGTCAAAATTCCGTTGTTCAACTTCTTTTTAACCCTTGGTTACGTAACCAATGGTTAAATTTTCATTGAATGTTCATTGTTATTAAAATAAGAATTAAGAACACTTTTCTCCGGCCTAGAAAAACTGTTTGGTCAATAAATATGATTTCTTATCCAAAGCAATACTCTTTTAAGTGTCCAAGTTCATTAAATAGAACAACAACAACGTGGACGTGACAGAGAACATGTTTGAAAAGAAGGGTTGATCGTAAATTATTAGATTATCCAGATAAATACATTATTTTACTAAAAATGTTAAATTTTGCTGCATCGACATTTTTTACCCTGTCATCTCCTATGTAAAGAAACAAATTTATGCAGCAAAATTAAACATGATTTATCACGATAATGTATTTATCTACTTAAGCAAATAATTTACGATCAACGCTTCTTTTCAAACAAATAGGTCTTGGTACCTTTCGATGAACTTTTTTAGAAAAAGGACGAGACGTTCTTTGACATACCCCGGATTTATCAACTTTCTACTCAGACACTGTTGACGTTTTACAAAGTCTGAGTAGCTTTTACGAGCTCTTGAATACCGAATAAGTTGGGAAATGTATATCCCATTTAAGGTGAAGTTGGTATATTGCTACTAAGATGGGGCAAATTGATAATTTAAAAATTAAAATTGTCTCGTTTGTCATAGATTCTGGTACTGAGATGTGCGCGTATGTCAAATACGAGGTATAAGTCTCAAAATGAGGCAGAGGAAGCCGTTTCTGTTATTTCTTTTAGTTCTAGAGGATATATTAATGAAACCCAATCAGATAAATTTTGGATCGTTAATGGAAAGAACATCATCAATATATATGAATGTGAAATTAATTTATCTGGCTTCTTTGATCTTCTGGTTTTTGACAAGTGTCTAAAGGAACTCCGATTCATATGAAAATAAGAAGAGGTCGGCAAGGAGAGGCACGCAATTCGTTCCCATAGGCAAGCCGACAATTTGTTGAAAAGTCTACCTCCTAATTCAACAAATACGTTGTCAATCAGAAACTCCTGCATGCTGATCACTTGTTACTCTGTGTAGCATGTTTTACCTTTTTGTTCACTATTTACAAAATATGCAGTATGGTGTCCCAAAGAATTAGATTTATAGCGTACGCTACCATTTTTGTGTTGAAAAGTATTGTGGATTATTTCTTCTATGCGTTTTGTTTAATTTCACGTGGGAAATTGTGGTATACATGGTTGAATAATCAAAAGTTTTGATAGATCTAATTTCAGAAATGGATCGATATTCAAAATCAACTAGACTTTATTTAGATTTTTTTAGAATCCACATATGGTTAATACCACTACGCGAGTAAATAGTTTCACATATTTTCTGAAGACCCTCTTTCACTGCAGACAGAATGTTTGTCAATCTAATGGACAAAAGTCGAACATGCAGATGAGCCGGTAATGTACCGTTTTTTGTACGGAATTTTGTGAATCTTAGGTATCCAATACAAACAAGGTAAGTCCTCCGATTTGCTGTACAATGTAATATTCATTAAAGCCATGGAAAACTTATGATTTGCCTAAATCTCATCCTTGTCAAATGCTATGTTTTTTTTATTTGGGAATACTTGAGTGCTCATTTATTCATAATTCTTTTACAAGACACTGGTAGTAGTACGATTTTCATACAAAGACAATATTATTTGAAGCTTTGTCCGCAAGAACAACAACATACTTATCGTGAAGAGATTATAGACATTTCACAGCATATTTATCTCTGCAAACAGACTATGGTCGATCATTCACACAGTTTATCAACTTATGAATGCGACGTTTTATCAGATACCTAATTTTGTTTTACCCATTCTGACTAAGTGTTCAGTTCAACTTCTTCTCGTTTAGCTCATGCACTGGCGTAGTCCTCAATGGAATCCATAATTATTTTAAAGTTATGGTTCAAATTGATGTGTTGGAGTTTTCTAAACCTAGGACCATGAGATATCACCTTTCGGAGGTGTTCATGGTAAATTATGTTTATATCCCCAGTAATAACATGACCAGACGCGCTGTAAATATAAGGCTAGTGGGAAAAGTCACATGCTAGAGGTTTTTTTATGTATTGTTCTAATCAAGGTCCTGCGATGCTTGTTTAAAGTTAAATACTTTGGGTGTAATGATTTTGGAGTAACTGTAGGATGCAATACATGCAATAGAAATGGACTGATTTTGAAAATAAAGTGTTTTTTTTTTTTATGTTACCCCCTTGTGATCAATGGTGATGTAGAACGTTGCTGATGTTGATTGCATCAATTACTTTATTAGTAAACTGAACATGAAGGAATTTCCTCTTTTCCTCATGTAAAGGTCCCGATTTTACTGGTGTAAAAAAGACGGAAAAGAGCTACATCACAAATTATACTGACAAGATTGTATATTGGAGAAAATGTATTTATGCATCCTCTAGTGCATAATCTCTCAAACATTTGAGAAAATTAACAGCAAGCGACAAAAGAATAGTTCTAATGTAATGTAACCTTGTATTGGTTGAAGAACAAAGATGTGACAGAATGGTCATCAAAGCTCTCAGAGGGCGATCTTGATTTCGAAGACTTTTTTACATTAGCAGATTAGGCCGATGGTAATATTTTTGCCCATGACTACGTTGTTGTCTTAAAGTAGTATTAAATAAGCTCATTACATTTACATCACTGCAGGCTGGACTTGACAAATTTCCTACAGCTGATATGTTATCATTGTATCTATTTGTTATCATTGCAACCATATATATTTAGTAAAAGCAACGGATAATATCTTTCTGTATGATAACTAATCATGAAGAAACTGAATATCATTCTCTTACAAACTAAGAATATCGTACAGTGCTCAAGACCCAAACGACATCATGATTGGTTTAAGGTTTGCAATTTTTATTATTATGGCATGATATGTAATCGTAATCAATTGTACATGTTGTATTTGACAGTAATCTGTAATCGACAAAAGTTACAGTAAAACAAATGATTTAGTCATCAATTACTTTTCGATTACATTTCTATTACTTTAGAAAAAAGGTTTGATGAAATATCACTTTTTTAAATGAAATATTGACCATTACATGTATTTTGCAGTAAAATATGAAAACAACACGCTATAAATTTCATGCATCTAAAACGCTTTTCTGGATATATCTTCCTTCACACGGAATGCTCAAAGCCGAGTTTTCAAAAGCCAAGAATGTATTTTAACCTAAACAGTTGAAGCGCTACATTGTGTATGTGACCAAAAAGGACCTAACAATAGCAATTTTATCTACGGTCAATTTTTCCTGAGGGAGTTAAAACTTTTCTTATAATTTCAAAAAAAAATAACGGACACTTGTTGAAGGTCTTTTCTAATTCATGTCAGTACTGAAAAACTGACTACTGAGCTGATTATACCCTCGGGGAAGTTCATTACCAGATGTATCGACCCAGTGCTTAAAAATATGAAAAAAAAACGTTATAAATTTCATGCGTCCGAAATTTTTTTCTTCTCTTCTAGCAAGTTCAGATAAAATGCTAAGAATAAAATGATTTGAATTTTCATTTTTCAGATATGTTGTCTTAAAGCTCCTCTATGTAAGACGAGATTTCCTGACAAATTTTACTTTTTTTCAGCTTTTGAAACAAATGGCCCTTAATATTAAACATAAATACATTAAAGGGTGGATGAGTATCTCAACTATACAAAACAAAAAAGATTAGTTGTATAAAAATTCATTAATGCATAATTTTTCAATTAGAGTTCTTTTTATTTGTTAAATTAATGTAACACTCTATTGCAGGCTTATTATCTTCATTACCTAAGGACATTTCTAGTACAATATCAAACTTTCGAAAATTTTGTTCAATCACTTATAACAGTGAACTACATTTTGTAAGTAATTTTAATCAGATATTTCGGAAGACATGGTGGCTGGTTAGTTATTTCTTAAAGAGAACATTGTGAAATTCCACCAGAGTTCTTCCGAAGGAACTATTAAAGTTAAATGCACATACTATCACGTTCCCATATCTTGGATTGCCCAAACAACATCAAACTTTCAACTCAAATTAAAGTATGTTACCTAAATAGTATATGAACATCTTAAAGTGTGGTTCTCAGTTGGTTTTGATTTTGAAATTTGTGTTAGGTTCAATTTAACAAAAAGCTTAAAAAAGAAAAAAAACACATTTGACTCATCATAATTTATGATATATAAACATATAGAAATGATAGAAGTCATGTTGACAAGAAACATATACATGTACATTCAAATTTTGAATCAGTAATTAATGTATGTATAAGACACATATATATAGATATTGTTTATACATTCAAATAAAACAAAGAAAACAGAAATTTTATTTAACTGAATTCTTGTCTTTTAATACTGGTCAATTAATAAAAGATTTGACTTAATGACTTGAAGACTTTGCTTTGATTTCATTATTGTTATTGATTAAGAGTTAGATTTACATTAAATTGCGTTAATTTACATGCGATACTCAATTGTTGGTTTTATAACCTGTAATTAAGGAGATTCTCAAAACAAAAAGATGAAATAAAACTTTTAATTTAACATGAAATTTTTAAGAAATAATTCATAGAAGCCATAGATTTGTTTGAAATGTACACATGGCCTTGGCCATGATATTCGAATTTTATCCTGAACGTTAGCGAGGGATAAAATTAACGAATATCACGGCCTAGGCAATGTGTAAATTTACAACAAATCTAAAAAGAAATTGTTATTTTTTGAGGATTTTAAAAGATTGCAATTATTTAAATATTGCGTATTACACTCTTATTTTCGTTTGATTTTGAATGATTGTATCCTGTTCTATTAGGTTCATAAGATCTGTCATGAAATTTTATAATTCATTAATATGAAAATTGCATTTTGTTTAATTATCCCAAAAAATTGGAATGTTGATTTTTGACAATGGACGTTGATTTGACGTCACTTGCACCGTAAGATCTTTTTTACGACCGGGCAAATTAATATGGACAGATAATAAGCTTTTGGATGCTATATTATACAGCCGTTCATAAAAGTTCCTTAACTAAGAGATTTTATGAAAAATTTCACTCGCCGATGACAGAGCGAAAAAAAGAAAAACGACGAAGAGTAAAAAATTACATAAAACACAATATAGAAAACTAAGGACTGAGTAACACGAAACAGGGTGTGAAGTCAGGTGCTTCGGGAGGGTAAGCAGATCCAGCTCTACATGTGGCATCTGTCGTGTTGCTCATGTAAGTACATACCTGGTAATAAGTCAAACCCTAATCATAAGGGTTGACATGCAGTCGTAAACAAAAGACAATTGTATATTTAATACGTGAGTCTCCTAAACGTTCCGAGTCTATACAATATTATATAAGTTTAAATGCAAATAATGAAATAAAGTGTGACATTTTCTTAATTGTATTATGAAGTAGCAATATAACAGCTGTTCCTGTTTAGATGTTAACAGTATTTCAGAAATAAGAATAACATGAAAAAATATTTTTTATATACTACAACTAGTAAACACAATAGACTTGGCGATAATACGTACCTAGAATCATGTATTTTATGATTATTGAAATATTTAATGGTAACTATTACCTATATATATGTGAATTTCATATTGTTTTTATTCATGAGAAATTGTATTCCTTAAACAGTTTGAAACACTGTATTCCATAATTTAAATTGTACTGGTGTTTTAAATTAATATATATGTGATCCGTTATAATTTTGCAAATGTGTAATTACTTTAGAACCTTTTTCTTTAATAATTACTTTAGCAATTTGCACGAAATTCATACATCTTTTTTTTATGTTTCCAAACTGCATTCTTATTCCCGACTCTTGAGCTCTCTGTGTGTCCAGGTCCTTAATTTGAATATTTTTTTGGAATGTAAGCTCACTTATTTCATGCTTTGTACGGTCTTCCAATTCTTTTTTCATTTTTTCAATATTGTGTATAGTTGTTAAGTCCTCTCTTTCTAACAGTGCAATCATTTTTTCATGTTGTTTAATAACCATTTGATACTTTTCCGATAAGTCTCTTTCAATTAACCTCACCTGTCTTTCATATTCCTTCTCTTTCTCTTCAATTTCTTTATTTATGTCCATGAGAATACAATCTTGTACCCTTTTGAACATAGCGTTTGTATAACAAGACCCCCCATTCTTATGAACCATTGAATCAATTTGAGTCAGAAGGTTCAGCACTTGTTTCCCTTTATTTCTCTCTGATGCAGTGTTAGAAAACCGGACGTATCTATCCCCACATTTTTTGGCAAAACACATAAGTCTCGTGGAGTTATGTACATAATCATCTAGTGTTTGCTTTTTATGTTTAAGATCTTCTGATTTTGTGAAAAGAATAATAAGATATTTAAACATGTCTTCACCAAAATGTTTACAGAAATAGTCAAATGATTCCTGAGTCTCGTCTGTAAATCTACCAAATGGGACAACTAAAATTATCGCATGTGGACCAGGCATAACCATGCAAATACATCTAGCTATTTCTGTTTGAATTTCGTCATCTGTATGTCTCGTATCAAATATACCCGGGGTGTCTACCACTGTTACTATGCGACCATTTATTTTTGTTTTCTCACTTCTACATTCTGATGTAACCGAATTTGCCGAGTCACTCGACATAAAAGCGTCTCGTCCTAAAATTGTATTACCAGTGCAACTTTTCCCAGATCCTGTTTTTCCAATTAAAACAATTCTTAAGCCTGTATGGTTACGCAATCTTTGATCAACTAAAATGAAATGAAATGAAAATATTTACAGTTTAATCATTTAACATATTTTGACCCGTCAGATTTTCACTATCTATAATCAATATTGTATTTTTCGAAATAGAAGCCATTTATGGCATTTTACTCTTGTGATCCATTATAAGCCATGGCCATCAGTTTAGTTCCCTGACCCGAAACAGCACACTAAATTCACAATCCATACTATAAGGATCGTTCACTACAAGTTGATGACATTTCGTTCAGTAGTTTCAGGATGTAGGTAGATCTTGATATTTTAAGCATTCTTGTCCCGTCAGATTTTCTCTATCTTTTATTTTCAAGATATAAGACAACTACAACATTTTACACTGATTACACTGTTCTATTAATTAGTCACGGCCGGCGGTCATGATTGTTTTTTGACCAAACAATTTCACATTGGGGGAATGGTTTATCATGTTTATACAGGGTTGAAATTTCAAAAGTTTTAATAGAATTTTTTTCAGAGCTATCGAGATTTAAAATTACCAAAAGGCTCTTTAAAATCTCGGTATGGTTGAACACCTATAAAAATGATATTTACAAAAGTAACTTTTATAAATAATATTTAAAATATCCTCGTTTTCAACATTACTTGTATAAGTAATTTTGAAAGTCATTTATTTAAGTAATACCACTGACGGATCAACAGGTTTAATAACACTGATATTATGCATCGTATATATAAATGTCGATCAACTAAAAAATCTTTGAATTCAGTTAATCATGAACTATGGCAAATATTTTGAAATTAGTGCATTGTCTGAAAACAAATTTTCATAGATCATTATGTTTCGTCTGTTTTATTTCAAGTCTAGAAACATTGCCTTGTTAAATCTACCGTAATAAATATTTTGTTAACTTAAAAAACTTTCTTTTTGTGAAGTGTTAAAGTATTCTATTATTCAATAATTTCGGAAAGTAATTTTAAGCGATACTTTTATCATTTGCAATTGATGAATAATCCTGAAAAAAGTATATTTTTAATTCCAACAAATAGTTATCGGGACTAGTAAACACTGTTTTCTAAGTTCACCTACAGGTAAAGATGTAAAATTTGTAGTATACGCCCGTTTACTATTGAATAAACGGACACAGAGTAAACGCGTGTTTACTCGAGTAGACATTAGAAATTTACATTTGGTCCGTGTAAACGCAATTATAGTAAACGCTTATTTACTGGTAAACGCGAAAATATTTGAGTTAACAAATGAAATATGTGCACGCAGTGTTTACGTGCGTTTACTTTTTGATATTCTTGGTCTTCAACCAACTGTAATGGCAATATCTTTTATCCCGTTTTCGTACCTGTTTCATCCATATCTTTGGTCATTGCAAATGATGTACCATCGCCTGTTTTAGTTCTTTCGTATATAATTTCTACATCTTCTCTGTCGTGTTTATTAACAACTGTATAAGAAGCAGGCTTTCTAGCTGGTTGTGTGTCAGCTGTGAGATGATTTAATGATCAGTTATTATACATTCACAGCCACATCAAATTGTATTGATAAAGTTTGAAAATGAAACTTCAATATTCACTATCTAATAAGGTTACAGATTATGCTTATTTATCGAAACACATTTACCAGAAAAGTTCTGAATAAGTCCTCTAGTGTTTGTTTCTCTTCAATTCGTCTTATTAAATGTGTAAAGATCTCACAAATACATCCTAATTTTTTGCCGAAATAGGTTTTTTTTTAAGAGCCCGTATATTTAAATACAATATATTAAAACTAACACCAGTAAAATCTTCACATATACATGTAGTTATATTGTGTTGAATGGTACTAACATACGCTTTGTATCTGATAAAACAAATCATAGTTTAAAATGTATTGTTCCGATAAACAGTCGAAGGAACGAAATATCGAATACAAAAATTTCATTTTAACTTTGAACAGAAGAACATGTTTAAACGTCAGTTAGCCCTATCGAAGGCTTATTCATTTTTCAAACGAAATATGTATCCCGTAATTGTAAAGACAAATATTCTTATGACATGATGAGGTATGCTCTTTTGTTTCAAATTGCAAATTGACCGGTAAGAAACTTAAATCATCCTCTGGGCGCCTGATTTCTTTTCCCGTTTAACCAACAAAGCTTTACGAGTTATATATTGACGCAAAAGACATATGGCGCAATCTTCGTGAAAATAGATTATAAATAAACCTTTGAGACTAACAAATTACCTGATATTATTATAATTTAAGCATTTCAAGCGTCGCACCCGTACAACAAAGCATTTATAATACATGTACATTTCATGTCATTTTAATGTTGTTGTTGTTTTTTTTAAATTAGATAAAAGGTATAGATAAATATTTAAAAAAATATAAACTGCCTTGTGTATTTTAAACCAATGTTCTTGTTCTGACGTTTCATTTGTGTGCTAATAACACATCGTTAATAGTTTTGAAACTCCGATAATAGTTAATATTTGGGACTGACAGATATGGATTCATCGGTCTGTTGCGTTAGTCATTAATTTGAATATTTTCCGTTTTCTGGGTAAGTAAAATTATATATCACTCAAATTGTTGGCAAAGGTTAACCGGTTGACCGATAAAATAATCGGAAGGACCGAATACCGATTACCAAAATCGTTATCAGGTTTAAAATCAATTTAAATATACTTCTTGTTATTGCATATCATGAATCAATAACAATGCTTAAATATTTGAAAATGATCATTATCACAGTAGTACTTACTTATATGAATTGTTCAGTATGATGATTACTTTATTCACACATAATACAATTCGATTTTACCTTATCAGTAAGTAGAAACGAATCGTATCTATCAGCTTGGAGCACAATGTAAAGTTAACATAATTTATACGGCATACGAAAAATATTAGTAAAGAACTGCAGTCATTGTGTTTAAACATCAACTGGTTAATCAGTCGATAGATTAAACAGTTAATCAGTTGGCTAAAAATGTTAAATTTTACAGAACTAAAAAATAATTATTAACAAAAATACAGAACGCCAATATGAATAGGTAGAATTTAGTGACACCTGCCAAATTCATATGCCCGACTATATCAACCACTGTAAAGAGTGGAAAAACAACTGTCCCATATTTCTGACTTGACACAAGTATTTTCCGACAAAAATGGTTGGTTAACTTTGGTTTCATAGCTAGCTAGTCCCCCACATGTATGACAGGTGTTAATAAATTAACTATATAAATGATTTTTAGAGATTTAGAATATATTAATAAGTGTTTGAACTTAACCATATTTACCCCCAAATAAACCAGAGGGAAACAATCCAGAATCAATTCCTAAAATAACTATAATTTTTTACATTTTTTTCACGGAAACTTAGTCATGTTAGTGTGATTTAAAAAAAAGTCCAATAATCTGTACACTGTAAAATGTAAAAATTACTGTGCGTCCCTTTGTGTTTCTTTCTTTTACATTTGCTAGATGTATAGGGGTGGGATAAGATCTCACAAAAATATTTAATCCAGGCGCATTTGTGTCCCTGTCCAAAGTCAGGAACCTTTAGTCTTTGTTATTCTTGTGTGTGTGTGTTTTTTTTTTTATAGATATGGTTCATTCGAATATTTCTGAGTTTAGTGTAGCGTCCATTTCACTGAGAAAATATATTATTTGTCTAAGGACCAGTTGAGATGTTATTTGGTTAATCAACTTCCTGCTCAAATACTGGTGAAGTTTATAAAGACTGTGTAGTAGCTGCAAGCTCTTGAATACCGAATGAGTTAGGACATGTGTATCCAATATGCTGATGACGTTGGTGTATTGCTACTACGATGGGGGAAATTGATAATTTCAAAATACAAATCGTCTCGTTAGTCATTGATTATGGTATTGAGATGACTGCTTATGTCTAATTTGAGGTGTAAGACTTAAAATAAAGCAGATGAAGCCGATCTGTTTTCTTTAATTTCTAGTTCTGAAGGATATATTTATGGAACTCAATCAGAAAAGTTTGAAATGTTAATGGAACGAACATTATCAATATGTCTGAATGTGAAATTAATTGATCTGGCTTCTTTGATCTTCTTGTTTTTGGCAATTATCTGAAAGGGCTCCGACTCGTATGAAAATAAAAAGAGGTCAGCAAGGAGAGGCACACAATTCGTTCCAATAGGAATGCCGACAATTTGTGGAAAAAGTCTACCTCCAAATTTAACAAATATGTTGTCAGGCATACTGATCATGGGTTCCTCTGTGTAACATGTTCTACCGTTTTGTTCACTATTAACAAAATATGCCGTATGGTATCCAAAAGTAATACACGTTTAGCGTATGTTAACAATTTTATATTAAAAAAACATTGTGGATTATTTCTGTTAGACGATTTTTCAATTTCACATAGGTAATGGTGGTATACGGGGTTGAAAAATCAAAAGTTTTGATATAATTATTTTCAGAGAAAGATCGACATATTAAATTATCCAGAAGTTCTTTGGAGTTTTTTTAGAATCCACATATGGTTAATACAACTATTCGAGTAAACAGTTTTAAAGTATTTCTGAAGACGTCTTTCACTGCGGACAGAATTTTTGTTAGTCTAATGGACAATTCCTTTGTAAAACATGCAGATGAGCTGCTGCTTGTACGGAGCTTTGTGAAGCATATGTATCCAATACAAACAAGGTAAGTCTTCGGGTTCGCTGTTCAATGTAATGAATGACTTACGATTCGCCAAATTTTCATCCTTTTAAAATGATATGTTTTTGTAGGTGATATCATTTATTCCAAATTCTTTCAAGACACTCGTAGAAGCACGATTTACATACAATGACAACATTATTTGAAGCTTTGTCCACAGGAACAACGACATATTTATCGCAAAGAGATGAAAGACATTTCACAGTTTCTTTGTTTCTGAAAACGGACTTTGGTCGATCATTACTGTTTAGTCTAATTTTGGTAATATCCACCTATTAAACTTAATTATCTCCGCGCCAGAAGTTGCATAAGGCCTCCACGCTGATATTCCACCCTTTTCTATCTTGTGCCGCTGTTCTGGCAACGTTCCGACTTGTCCATCCTTGTTGGTTCCTTTCTCTCTCTATTGTTCTTCTCCATGTAGGTTTTGGCCTTCTCTAGTTCTCTTCCCTTCCGGGGCCCATTGTAGTGCTACATAATTGTTGTTGTCTCTGTAACGCCTTAATATGTGTCCTATCCATGTCCATCGTCTCCTTTTGATTTCAAAACTGATGTTTCTGGTGTTAGCAATTTCATTTACTCTTTTGTGTGATGTTTTACTTTGCAATCTTATTTTTATGATCTTTCTTAGGCATTGTTTTTGTACAGTATTTAGTTTCTTTTCTTCAACGTTTGTGAGTTTCCACGTTTCACATCCATACAAAAGTACAGGTCTAACTAATGATTTATACAGGTGTATTTTTGTTTTTCGGCCAATTCCTCTTGCATACCATATATTTCTTAGGCGATGAAATGCCCCTCTAGCTTTCTGTATTCTTTTCTTGATATCGCTACTTCCTCCTCCCTATTTGTCCATGTTGTCCATGACTGCTGCAAGGTTTGTGAACTTGTCTACATCTTCTACTTTCTCGTTGTATAATGTTATCAGCTATTTACTCCTAACTCTTTTGTATCCATCTCGTTATTGTGCTATGGTAAATTTTTTGAATTCCTATCTTTCGTTTTTGCTTATGTGGTATACTCGACGCTTTTTATATAAATGACAGAAAGTCATCCATAAAGATACCATCGCCGCCTCGATGGTCTACTGGTATCATATTCGCCTCGAGTGCGGGAGGTCATGGTTCCAAACTCTGGTCGGATCAAACCAAAGATTTAAAACTGATATTTGCTGCTTCTCCGCTAAGCACGCGGCATAAAGGAGTAAGTGCAAAGACTGGTCGGCTCAGAATCAGAATAATGTGCCCAGGTAAGGTTATTGGTCTTCCTGCAAACCTTGTCAATTACCACGTAAAAATCCGGGTCAGCGTGTCGGTCTACACCTGAATGGGCATGTTAATTTGCCGCTGGACGTTAAGCAGCCATCCATTATCATTATCAATATCACACACAGACATCATGGGGAGTAAGTGATGTATAATGACTGCGATAACCCCGAGGAGTAAATTGAGCTACAAGAAAGACTAAATGGAATTTATATACCATCCATTTTGTCTTTGCACCCATATTGGGTTGCAATTCTCAAATATCGAATTCAGTAGTTTTTTTTGTGGAAAATTGTTGCAAGGTGAGAATTGTTGACCAGTGGTATATTTCTTTCAATGATGCGACCTTGCATAGTAAGGATTGAATGATCGGGCTAATCAAAATGCGGGTAAACAATGTCGCTCCCATTGATGTCTGATCTGGTCGAACATACGTTTATTCAGCCTCCCTTTTGTTTCGCCGACATATACCACGCCCCAAAGGTTGGAATGATATCAGTAGACGAGATTCGTTGATTTACAATTCAGATCATCATAGCTT